CTTGTATAAACGAAAATGTGGTTTTCATAGACAACATATTCCGTCCTCTCTGCAGCCATTTCGTAGGCTTGTCCTCCCCCACGCACTCATTGTTCATCCAAAAGAAAAGTTTTTTTGGCAAGAGACAAATTACCTGACATTACATTAGCCGGGCTGGTTCAATTTGTCGAGAACTTGCCACGTTGCTCCCTCATGGATCGGTTATTATGATGTGATTGATCCCAGTTTCGTCATTTATATTTCCATGAGCCCATAACGGTCCTGATATTTTTATATATCGGACAGGAGCCGATGGTGTCCGCCCATGACTTACGCCCATGACTAAACCCAATCCGCCCGACACTCCGTCCCTTTTCTTGTAAAAACGGATTTTTTTTTCATCTTGGCAAAACTGATTCGCGTCCACTTATCGCTTTTTAATCGTTTTTACCCAACCACACGTATCCCATTCTGTTTTTTAAAAAAACAGACATGTTCTTACACGGATTGGCCTTAGATCATTTTCAATTCAATTCTCCCGCGTACCAATCAATGTTTGATCGATCTGCTAGTGCTTAAAAGCACTACCAGTCTTACTTAGAACCCCGTTGGAGGATACTCCCCATATTGTAGACTTTACGGGGAGGCTCCGCCCGAAAGGGGGACTTTTTTAATGCTTCATATATATGAAGCGATCTCACCAGTTGAAGTATCTATGGAAGGGTAGGGCAATCTTTCAGCTTGGTGTAAAACGACCTAAAAGGACTAAGGAAGGATTTATTTTATGGCTGTGAAAAAGTTTATTGTGATTTATTAAAACGTTATAGACATTGCATTTATAGCAGTTCAAAGGGATGCAAAGTTCTAAACTAGGTATGTGAAAGTGGTACCATTTGTCCGTGGAAGGTATACGAAAGGGGTACCAATTCTCTCAAAAATGTATGGGTATATAAAAGGGTAAGGGGTTGGACCTCGGGGCGCAGCCTTCCCGTCTAAAACTTTCTACAGTATTCCCCCGGCCTAGTACCTCCGAGGTCTTGCCTGTGGAACCCCGTTCAGTCGTTCAACAATTTGATTTCGAAGTCCAGTGGCATCTTGAAGCAAGCGCTACTGATTAAGTAATATTCTGAAAAAGCAAGCTTGGACATTTTAACAAAAAACTATAATAACATAAGATATGCCACAAATCTTATAAAAAAATGAAACATTGTTATCCCGCGTGAGATCCGATGCTGTTACTTCATCGCTTTCAAAAATTTTTATTTTCATCTGTTAGTTAGGAGTTCGGTGCGCGTTTATATCGGGTACACTTGAACGGATCAGGCTAGTCCACGAACCGGAGATGGTGACCGTTAGCGAATATTCTACTGCGTATGGGCTTGAGCCCGGGCCGAAGAGCGTTGTTGTTTGTTTGGTTTTTGAACGTTCGTCCAGGGACAACACCCGTCACAGAATCAACACTGTTCAGAGGGACAACACCCATCACAGGTACAACACCAGTACTTTTTTCTTAATATTTCTTTTTTTGTGCACGAAGTATATGAAAAAATAAAGTGGGCTTAATAAAGACATGAGCACACGTTTTTCTCACTAATATATACCTCACAATACTTTTATTTACCCAAGTTTTGATCAGCTGCAATGACATATATATGCTTGTTACGACGGGAACTTGACACGAACTTGTCACAAGTTTCAGTAGTCTCAAAATGTACAATTTGCACTGTATGCTAACAAACCTTAAACCGAAACAATGGACATTTTAAAACTACAATGGTAAGTAAAGCTTGTATTTCAGTACATAGAGGATCTGGATGGGATTTGACTGATAGTTGAAAATTGGCCAAGATTTGAACTGTCAGCTGAGAAAATTTTCAATTCGTAAAAAAATTAACAGATGGGTGAAATATCGCTGCGCTGAAACTCTGACTGATAATTTTAAAATATCTGATCATCCCCATGCGAATTCTCTACATAATACAGTCTAATCCAGAAGTTCTAAAAACTTGCAAAGGCAAGAGAGCTGTTAAAGCAGAAAGTTTTCATTTGGAACTTTTCGCAAAAATTCCTCGGCTTAAAAAATGTAAAACAAAGATATCTGACGGACAGCCCTCCATGTACATATATTTCGATTACATTCCTTTGTTAGCCTGAATTTCAGCCATGTCTCCGCGAGTCGCAAACTCCCCGAGTGAGCGAGGGGGGAAGGCGGCTGAAATTCAGGATAATTCCTTTGTTTAATAACTAAATTTTAAAAATATCATCGCATGGACTACCTTCTTGCCAGGCTCTAACTACGAAACTATACTAAACGTATGCGTGATTTTTCTTAAACTGAAAAAATCCATTTACGTTGAAAGAACGTGGTGAGTTTTACAAATAGCACAAAAAGAAAGAAAGAAAGAAAAGAGGAATCTGTGACTCGTAATTAGTATTTTCGAATTTTCTAATTTCTTAAGGTGACTCGATCCAGTTTTTTTTTTTTTTTTTTTTTTTTTTTTTTTTTTGGGGGGGGGGGGTACCATCCTACTTTCAAGCTCTCTGGTATCCCCACCTTTACTTTTATCGTAAGTCTAACACATGGAATGGACAACATATAGATCAATCTACAATATAACATAAAATTTTGGGCGATCGGAGTAAATGTCACGTGGTTATAATGCCACGCCCCTTTGAGGTCTGAGTCGAAAATCTGCTGTTACCGGCATTTTTTCGTGAAAATCTCTCGACTACACATAGTGCGCATTAGTGCCTTGCGCTGAACAGAGTTTCAAATTTAGGTCATAATTTATGCGAAAATGATAAGCAAACTTTACACGGATTATATCTAGTAAACTATGAGATTCATCTCTTTATTTTGGGCATCGTTATAACAGATGGGTCCTTGCAAGTCAGCAAAACGCTTTACGGCCTTGTAAATGCGCGCGATTTCGAGCAAAGCAACATATAGAAATTATAGTTTTCGCTATTTGTTGACGTTTGTCAGTTGGGAGTTGTCCATTGTTTCTAGTCTGTCATTATACAGCATTCTTGTTCAGCACGCGTGCAAAGACCACGCTTGGCTGACTTCCGAATGCTCACCGAGATATGATAATTTAGTATAAGAAAACAGAAGGGATTCCCGTCAAGAGTTGGTTTAATTATTGGCTTGCATTAAACCTATGAAAAAATGATATTTTTTTAATAGTAAGTAGATTTAGTGTGTAGCACTTCTTGATTTTTTTGCAAAGGCACAAAAAGCACGAGAATTGATTAAAAATTGTGAGTTAAACCTCTATGTATCACGCGATGGCCTGTCTCACTGTACCAAAATTATCATATCCCGGTGAGCATTCGGAAGTCAGCCAAGCGCGGTCATTGCACGCGTGCTAAACAAGAATGCTGTATCATGACAGACTAGAAGCAATAGGCAACTCCCAAAGCACAAACTCAGCCAAAACGCTAAAAATCTTCAATGTTTACTCAAGTTTGGGCTTATAGAAGATAATGTCACAGTTTTTCAATGACCATGAAATTCAGAGTTCGGGTAGTTAGTTAATCAATTGTGGCCCTGAAAAAATTTGAAGGAAAAAAAACCACGAATTTTTAAGAAAATGCTTTTTTCGTGAGATTGACTCTTAAACGCTGACAAACGTCAACAAATAGCGAAAACTACAATTTCTATATGTTTGCTTTGCTCGAAATCGCGCGCATTTACAAGGCCCTAAAGCGTTTTGCTGACTTGCAAGGACCCATCTGTTATAACGATGCCCAAAATAAAGAGATAAATCTCATAGTTTACTAGATATAATCCGTGTAAAGTTTGCTTATCATTTTCGCATAAATTATGACCTAAATTTGGAAACCGCTGAATTACTCGAATTGGGTCTTTGCGATTTTGGTGAAACTCTGTTCAGCGCAAGGCACTAATGCGCACTATGTGTAGCCGAGAGATTTTCACGAAAAAATGCCGGTAACAGCAGATTTTCGACTCAGACCTCAAAGGGGCGTGGCATTATAACCACGTGACATTTACTCCGATCGCCAAAAATTTTATGTTATATTGTAGATTGATCTATATGTTGTCCATTCTATGTGTTAGACTTACGATAAAAGTAAAGGTGGGGATGCCAGAGAGCTTCAAAGTAGGATGGTACCCCCCCAAAAAGCTGGGTCGAGTCACCTTAAAAAGGCCAATATCGCTTACATCAAATACGGTTACCGTGAGCATTGTAAATTGTGTTCTGAACAGATTCACTAATTTCATAATTACCTTCACACAAATATATGTTTTCCAGAGTTGTGTTTATTTATTTTTAAGATCTTTAGCAAGTGACTCCGCACCGGCAGGACCAAGGTCATTGTCAAACAAATTCAAATTTGTCAGAGTTGTGTTTGTTTTTAGCGCTGTAGCAAGTGACTCCGCACCGGCAGGACCAAGGATTGCCAGACAAATCCAAATTTGTCAGAGTTGTGTTTGTTTTTAGCGCTGTAGCAAGTGACTCCGCACCGGCAGGACCAAGGTTATTGTCAGACAAATAGAAATTTGTCAGAGTTGTGTTTGTTTTAAGCGCTGTAGCAAGTGACTCCGCACCGGCAGGACCAAGGTTATTGTCAGACAAATGCAAATTTGTCAGAGTTGTGTTTGTTTTAAACGCTGTAGCAAGTGACTCCGCACCGGCAGGACCAAGGTTATTGTCAGACAACTCTAAATTTGTCAGAGCTGTGTTTGTTTTAAGCGCTGTAGCAAGTGACTCAGCACCAGCAGGACCAAGGTCATTGCCAGACAACTCCAAATTTGTCAGAGTTGTGTTTGTTTTAAGCGCTGTAGCAAGTGACTCAGCACCAGCAGGACCAAGGTGATTGCCAGACAACTCCAAATTTGTCAGAGCTGTGTTTGTTTTAAGCGCTGTAGCAAGTGACTCAGCACCAGCAGGACCAAGGTTATTGACAGACAACTCCAAATTTGTCAGATTTGTGTTTGTTTTAAGCGCTGTAGCAAGTGACTCAGCACCAGCAGGACCAAGGTTATTGACAGACAACTACAAATTTGTCAGAGCTGTGTTTGTTTTAAGCGCTGTAGCAAGTGACTCAGCACCAGCAGGACCAAGGTTATTGTCAGACAACTTCAAATTTGTCAGAGCTGTGTTTGTTTTAAGCGCTGTAGCAAGTGACTCAGCACCAGCAGGACCAAGGTTATTGCCAGACAACTCCAAATTTGTCAGAGTTGTGTTTGTTTTAAGCGCTGTAGCAAGTGACTCAGCACCAGCAGGACCAAGGTGATTGCCAGACAACTCCAAATTTGTCAGAGCTGTGTTTGTTTTAAGCGCTGTAGCAAGTGACTCAGCACCAGCAGGACCAAGGTTATTGTCAGACAACTCCAAATTTGTCAGAGCTGTGTTTGTTTTAAGCGCTGTAGCAAGTGACTCAGCACCAGCAGGACCAAGGTTATTGCCAGACAAATCCAAATTTGTCAGAGTTGTGTTTGTTTTAAGCGCTGTAGCAAGTGACTCAGCACCAGCAGGACCAAGGTTATTGTCAGACAAATTCAAATTTGTCAGAGTTGTGTTTGTTTTAAGCGCTGTAACAAGTGACTCAGCACCAGCAGGACCAAGGTCATTGCCAGACAAATTCAAATTTGTCAGAGTTGTGTTTGTTTTAAGCGCTGTAGCAAGTGACTCAGCACCAGCAGGACCAAGGTTATTGCCAGACAAATCCAAATTTGTCAGAGTTGTGTTTGTTTTAAGCGCTGTAGCAAGTGACTCAGCACCAGCAGGACCAAGGTTATTGCCAGACAAATTCAAATTTGTCAGAGCTGTGTTTGTTTTAAGCGCTGTAGCAAGTGACTCAGCACCAGCAGGACCAAGGTTATTGTCAGACAACTCCAAATTTGTCAGAGTTGTGTTTGTTTTAAGCGCTGTAGCAAGTGACTCAGCACCGGCAGGACCAAGGTTATTGCGGTACAAATTCAAATTTGTCAGAGCTGTGTTTGTTTTAAGCGCTGTAGCAAGTGACTCCGCACCGGCAGGACTAAGGTTATTGCCAGACAACTCTAAATTTCTCAGAGCTGTGTTTGTTTTAAGCGCTGTAGCAAGTGACTCAGCATCGGCAGGACCAAGGTTATTGCCAGACAACTCCAAATTTGTCAGAGCTGTGTTTGTTTTAAGCGCTGTAGCAAGTGACTCAGCACCGGCAGGACCAAGGTAATTGTCAGACAACTCCAAATTTGTCAGAGCTGTGTTTGTTTTAAGCGCTGTAGCAAGTGACTCAGCACCAGCAGGACCAAGGTTATTGTCAGACAACTCCAAATTTGTCAGAGTTGTGTTTGTTTTAAGCGCTGTAGCAAGTGACTCAGCACCGGCAGGACCAAGGTTATTGCCAGACAAATCCAAATTTGTCAGAGTTGTGTTTGTTTTAAGCGCTGTAGCAAGTGACTCAGCACCGGCAGGACCAAGGTTATTGCCAGACAAATCCAAATTTGTCAGAGTTGTGTTTGTTTCAAGTACAGCAGCAAGCACAGGAGCAGCAGCATCACCTATACCTTCCTCTTGAAGATCAGCCTCTTGAACTTCCAGAAATAGGCCAAACGTACGTGCCAGTTCTATATGAAAATAACTGTTTTCAATTTTGCATTCTTTTATGCACTCCAATGCGACAGGTAAACATTCTCTCTCATCTTCTTCGTTTACCTCATTCGCTATGCAGAGGATAAGGGATACTGCACTTTCTTGAGATCTCACTGCTAGCAGACCACAGGTAAATTTTAATACCTCTCTCAGCTCTTGGAAATGTCTTGTGTCGTTGACTAATATAAAGGGATTGATTTCTTCACTAACAAGCTGGCAACAAAGATAATACCCTGCGAAGAATTCTTGAAAACTCTTATGCGTAAAGCCGTAGCACAGACACGGCCTTCGTTTGCTGCTTCCAGGTTGAGCTGACAGAAAGCCAAATTCAGGTAAGTCGGCATTTTCACTTGAAAGCTTTTTGTCCTCAAAGTACATGTTGTCTTCATACAGGCCGTTTAAAGCTATCAAGCCAAGGAGTTTCAACTGATCTTTGTAGATTTCAATCAGATCCTCATTTTGCACTGGAAGACCTCTCTTTTTCCTGTACCTGATAAGAACACATTGTACTATTTCCGAGTACAACTGAGTTCTGCTTTCAGGTAAAATACCTTGAAAGTCTTCACAAAGAAGACAAAGCAGTGCAGTGTTTAAAGGGTTTGCCGCCATCTCTGTGAGACTTTTCTCGTTCTGTATTTTATCCAAGAGCTTTTCGGCCCAATCTTCCTTGCCGACAAAATATTTGTGAATAAATTCTTTGATATCCTGATAAGTGAAACCTTCAATCTCTAGCAGAGTGTCACAAACTTTTCTCACTGGTATCCCAGCCTCGTGTCGCGCTGTAACCACAAGGTGACATAGGGGAAGTATTTTACCTTGTATGATATCGGTAAACTCCGGCAGTTTGCTCGAAGGTAGCTCGTCCAATCCATCAAGTATCAGTAGGACCTTTGATTGATTTTGCCGAATGCTCTCGAAGAATTTCTCTCTTTCCTTTCGGTGAATTTCACCTGGCAAAAGCTGATCGTCAATGGCTTCCCAAAGGTCGGACTCGATCTCGACATCACGGCATTTCAGCAGGAGCACTATCTCAAATTCCGGAAAGCAGTCTCCTTCTTTGTTTATGTGTATAGCCCAGTCGTAGGCAACCTTATTGCAGTATGTCGTCTTTCCCATACCTGGCGTTCCTTCGATCAATACTTTTCTAGGTCGGTCGCATTCTTCGTGGGGTTTGAAGATTTCAGTCGTTTCAACAACTCTCTGCTCCGCTGTTCCTCTCGCTTTTTTCTCTCTGCTGACCATACGAAGCCGTGTATAAATATCGCTTAGTTGAAACTGAAAGTCTTCACACCAAGGAAAGGGTGCGAGCCATCCCTCATGACGCTTGTACTTCTGGCGAATGATTTCAATATGCTCGGCAACCAAGCCAGCTGTTGAGAATAAATGAGAACCAAACTTTGTTGTAGGTATTTGTCTAAATAGTCATGTCGCTTAAGGCCAAATTTTCGCAATAACGTTACATCGCGGATACAAGCACCAAAATCGCCAGAATGTTTCCTTACTGACTATTAAACATTTTAATCCGTGGATCCAGGCGGATTTTTGTGTGTACAAACATGCGTAATTTTCAGGGCACCCAACGACGGTTTCTGTGAAATACATTGAAAACAATCTTTAGGCTACCTAGAGTACTTTTTGATCTCTAGAAATGCATTTTAAGCGGCGCTATAAAATTTGTATCTGTTTGGTCATTCTAGGGAAGGCTTCAGTACTATTTTCCCGAAAATTTTAGATACAATTTAAAGTTTACGAAAGTAACAATTGTTCTGATTGCTCTTTCCATCACATTTTCGAATCCGAAAAATTAAGGATTGCTTTTTCTACGAAAAATAGTTTAACCTGGGGAGTGAAATTCAAAAAATTAAACAAGAAAATCGTAGGGAATTTATTACATATGCATCGAAAGTTTTACATGAACGAAAGGTTTATCTAGAACATTTTAGCATTCCTCAAGCTATAGAAAATTCTAGGCAGTTTTTGCTTCTCCGAACAGATATTTTACAGAAACAGTCGTTGGGTGCCCCTGAATGTTCCACACCACAGAAGCATGTGAAAACTCTTGGGCGCTCCTACAGAAGCTATGTTATAATTATGATACTTTTCTGAGGGGAAAGAATGGTTAAGTTTTAAGAAGAATATAACACTCTGCTTAGCTATGACTGCAAGACCGGTTTCGCAAACAAAATATTGAATCCTTCGTCAGTTGCTTAGCCGATAGCTGTTAACAAGCTAAAGGGCTCACCAAGGGGGCTAGCGCTGTAAACTAAACTTTACTGTCTGTTCTTTTCATTTAGCATCGAGAATCAGCTAGAGATTATTTTTTTAAACAAGACGCTGATTGGATGATTTATCTGTCCTTTGTTGTGCGAGGACAACTTGATCCTGTTTTCAGTGTCAAAAATAAACATGAAAGCGTACATACTGAAATGCAGTTTTAGTAGGCTATACACATTATTATTCAATAGTCATGAGAACTATAACACGACATACAATACATGTAGGTGCACTAGCAAATTATACAAAAAGTAAGAATATAACAAAGTTGTTAACAGAACTCTAATAGGCAATAGAGGACATGGAAAGAACAAATGTAACTATTATTTTTGCCAATATTAGAACATCAAAGTCAAAATACTACTTGCTTTATGATAAATCTCACTCAAAAACACATACACCTATAATTCTATTTTCAATTTTGTTACAAACTTTGGCTTCACCAGCTAAAAAATTGGAAAATAGGAGGTTTTAGTTAAAAAATAGGAGAAAATAGGAATAGGTTCAAAAAATAGGAAAAATAGGAATTGGACACTCTGCATTAGACGCTTGATGCTTTCAGGAAAAGAGCGGTCAAGACTGCTGAAACAGTTTAACAGAGAATACTTTATTCTGATAGCGATCTAGATAATCCCCAAACTTCCTTAATCACGAGCAAAGTGTGTCAACACAGAAAAATTTTCAAAGGCAAGTAAAGCTTGCACTGATGGTGCAGTAATGGCCGATTTTCCTGAGCTTTTATCCCAAGACAGTCAAGACTGCACACTCTTGAAGACACAGACAGGAGGCAATAATGTCCCTGCTGGGTCATCTTCGGCAAAGGTAAAAACTGCAGACTTTACATCATCAATGCTATATACACCAGCCTTGACGCCAAAAAGTCGACAGCACTTCCAAAGCTTCTTGCCATTTCTGGCTGTGGCACCACCTCTGCTACAACACACGAAAAGGGCGGTGTACCAAGCTCCTATCTGGGTTACAAGTACCGAAATACAGCCAATGATCTCTTCGCCAGATGAATAGGGTTGGAGGGAACAATTAAAAAATGTATGGATCCCTCTTTGGCTAAATGTTCCAGAACTTTAGAAGGCGTGTTAAGAGCCTATCAAATGTTCGCGGAAAAAGAGACTCTTCTAGTTGCAAATATGACAAAGCCCACTTAAAAGGTTCCCTACTCTGCAATTGCATTTCGTATGGTAGCGCACGCCGACGAGGGAAAAAAATACTTGAAACTTTAGAAGTTACAAGTACAAACAGTAAATGTCAGAGGGGGGAGAGAGCACGGGGGACTTCCCCTTCTTTCGTTGACTGAGTTAGTAGTTTTAAAAATTCATGGGTCTGCCTTACAATCGGCCTTCGAAATAATGTACTTTACTGGAAGGTGCGATTAAGAAAGATTATTTGGCAGGCTTAAGAGGCTCATGTAGTTTCGAGAGCTTTTAATCCAACATAAATCAACGAGTCAGATTCGGGTGTATAAAACGATATTATAATTATTATCATTTTTATTATTACCAAACGCGGGTCATAGTTGTATTTCAAGCGCAACGAAATTGTAGTTGCTTGACTTTGTAGCCTTGGCGCCGCCATTTTGAATTTATGCAAACAACGTTAATTTTCCACGCTTTCTTTGAGGAGAAAAAAATTTCAGATGGATCCACGACTAAATTTATTTCATAAGTCAAAAAGAGACTGCATGCAAAAATTGGTGCTTGCATCCGCCCTGTAACGATAAAATTAATGCACTTAGCGACCTAACTAAAAACAGTTTGGTTTGCAATTTCCCAAGCCCGTGAAATAAATGAATTGAACTACCTGTATAACCATGCTTGCATAAGGCGATTTGCTGAACAAAACTTAGCTGTTATTAATTATCTCCTTCAGCCAATGTGCACCGCCTTAAAGCAATGAGCGTAAAAAATTCCAAACTAGAAGGGGGGCTTCAATAAGGAAATGAAAGATGGCAAAGGCCCTTTGTTTGATTTAACGGCAGCCTTTTAGCAGACCACTGAAATTTGCGAGAAGCAATAAAAATGGACTACTGGTTATGAACTCTAGGTTTGGGTGTTTGAGAACTGACAACTCCCCCGTTTTACGATATGGTTAATAGAGTTCAATAAACCTCCATCTTTCTTTGTTTACTTCGGCGGAGCGCGAAGTAAAGGATTCGCGATCCTCAGGAATGTATCAAAGTTGACTTTTTTTGACAAGAATGGGCACGCGAAGTCTGTAGGTTTTCGGTTTTATTCGGCTATTTGACGAAGTGAGAGCCGAATTAGTTCGAGATATCTCGAGATAACTTCGATTTCTTTGATTTATTCTTTAACTTCTTCGAGGAAGAAAGAATTATCATTTTGGCTTTCCCGTCATTTGAACCGACTCACCTGTGTGACCCGTCAGATCAAAGGAGACTCTAAGTAGAGGGATTAGCTGATTGCGCTACTGCGACCTAGGGTACTTCGGGATATGAAAAATAGTCATGAAATAATGCACTAGTTTCGGAACAAGATTAGGCGTGCAAGTTCGTGACGTTTCGGCTTGTTTCGGCTATTTCACCAAATGAGACCGGACTACTTCGTGATATTTTGAGATCACTTCGAGTTTAGTCTTTAATTTACTCGAGGAATAAATAGAGGATATCACGTGGCCGCGCAAAGACACGAAATTTCTCTTCGAGTTTTGAAAAACATTTCACGAGTGAGCCCTCCTTTCGAACTGTTTTATGATGAATTTAAAGTTACAAAATGCTGCACAAAGACATTTTGTCTTTGTTGAGTGTTACGTAGTAAAATTGCTTTCATGCGTCGCGTGACTTTTTCGAACGTTGTCTACGTTTTTGGATTATTCACGAATTAATTAGGGCATGTTTACATTTCAGCATGAGTCAGCAGATTTGCATCAGTCACTGAAATCATAAATATGTCGAAAAACTACCACTATTCGCCTGTTTAGTATTTTCGAGAACCTTACGTCAAACGGTTTACAAGTTCTAAGCATTTACAATTAGTCAGTTCCACAACCACGGCGCCGAAGTGTACGCTCCGTAGCGTCTTGTTTCAACTGGTACCTACAGTGGCCCACATGGGACCGTAATGCAAAACTTAAGACTTGCCGAAATTTTTTTTAAAAAGTTAGACGACACCTAGGTACACTTGAAACCAATATGACCACCATAAGTAGGTAACCTGCGCAGCAGGCATTGAAAGGAGTAGGTGATTGGGAGGAAGGGGGAAAGGGAGGGACGCGATTTTCTTCCTCTCCCCCTCCCCGTTTTGCGCCTGCCTCGCAGGCTACTGGTATAGGCGGCTGCAACGCCACGATCTTACGGGAAAATAGAGGACTATAAACAGTCTCGGGTGTTTGTTTCTAGTTCATCCGTCATCCCTCTCGCTGAGAGAACTACAATTTTAATTGATGGCAAATGAATAAGTTTTAGCACTTTGGGTCCTCCTTGAATACAAAACTGTTGTTTTGGGATCCGAGAGCACGAGAGAGACACTTGTAAGACAAACGATCACTGATTCATCAGCAATACCTGCTTTTAACAGTTCTTTTACACGGATACTTTAAATTTCCAGCGGGCTACAGTGTGGGGAAACTCACCTTCCTCTTTGGTCGCAGAAACCAAAGTCTTCAGCGTCTCTATGTCGCTTTTCATCTGCTTGAAGTCTTTTCTTGTTCTATCTGTCAGGGAGGATATACTTAACATAATTAAACTTTCATCGCATACCTTTCATTGAGGACAATTTAAAGTGGATGTCTGGAAAACCAGGCAATAGACATTCGAAATTCAGAACAGGAATGGGAATATATAGCAACGGGTACCGGAAACGGAATCGGAAAGGAAATAGAGGTAGGGTTTAAGGTAGGAAGAAAAAAGACGCAATAAATGATCACATTCTGCTAAGAAATAGGGCATAAAGTATGTTATAGGTGTTTAATAGGTGTTTAATAAAGCTCTAAACCGTGGTTAATGAGCCCTAAGGCAGTACTAGTCCTTTCCTCACTTGTCCCCATTGTTGTCTACTCTCCTCACTTTTGCAATCAAGGCTCGTACAACAGTCAATAGCTCATTTTTTAGCTCAAAGTACTTTTACTTTTACAATATTAAAATTTTTGCCAAAGCTCCCAGCAATTTTCGACAGCATCACATGATTCTCACCTGTCTTGCCCTATGTAAACCCCCCATGCCACTAGCTAGCCACATTTCAACTTCACTCTTCCAACACACTTGCATATTCCATTTTGTCCTCCCTCCCACCCAACTGGAAGCTTTCTCTCCATTGATCGCTATGGCTGTGCTTTTTCCTGCCTGTTTCTATTTGATTTGTATCATATGCTATTTGATTTTACTCTTTTTTAGTTGATTGTTACATTCTATTATTCATTAAGTTGCCACCATCATAAAAAAATATTAGCTTGATTTATCCATCAATTAAATCCTAGGTGTTTGTACATTTACTTTGTTACTTATTTATTGGCGAAAGGGAAGTGCAGCCTGGGCTTTCAAGTGTTTTTGAGCAGGTCTCAGTTCGTTTTCTATCTTCCCGAAATTTGTAAACAACCTCACAAGTAAATTAATAAAGCTGCCCCCACGCTGGTATGTTGGATTTCGAAAGAAGGGGATGTGATTTGAGAAACATTGTTTTGATTGACACACTTTGATTATCTTCATCAATGCCCTAGTTTTTAGTAAGCTTTTTAACTGTTCGTCTGTCTGGGGCAACACAACTAAAACCAGTCTTAACAAGATCTAGACTGTTCAAAAATATTAAAAGAACTTAAGTGGCTACCTATAAGACAACAGCTATATCTTAGAAAAGCTATCCTAGTCTTCAGATGTATTAACGGTATGGCCCTATGGTACTTAGCGGATAAGTTTGTAAAACGATCTAGCATTTCAAACCGCTAAGCTCGGAGTTCTCAGTTACTGGATATTCCGATCCTTAAAACAACTACTGCATGGTCAACGTTCATTTTATTACCAAGGGATTAAACTAATTTGGAACGCCTTAAGCGATAGGCTCAAAATTTGCCAAAAAACTGCAAAAAAAAAAAACGTTGCGTGAAAAATTTCTTGGTAATTAACATGATATATGTTAGGCCATTTTATGCTATTTCAGAACTATAACAATTCATCTGGATACAGTAATAGAGATTAGGTTATAAATATTCCAACTTCATTTATATTTAATTTTGATTTAGTTATGTATGTACTTCTGAAAAGCCCTGTTAGGGGACGAAGTATAATAAAGTATATATGTATACATGTACAATTATAATAAGTAAGGGAACAGCTACTGGCGAGACAAGTGGGGTACTTGAGCGAATCTTGAACTAATCTATGCTAGATGATTTCAACCTTTTTAGCTATATTTGCATTGTGGACGAAATATAACATGCGGAGGAGATGGAAACTCCGGTGATGTGGAACATCTTTAAGATTTTCATGGTCACAAGATGCAAGTGATTAATTGCGAAGTGAATCTAACTAACCGTTCTAATTACCTTTAACTTGTGACACTTTGAGGCCAGAGGCGGGGCTGGTGCCCTTATTTGGGATGGGTCGGGGGATTATTACCTTCTTAAAGCTATTAGCTGTCTTTTCTGGTAAATACACCACACGTGTGTATACATTTTAGTACCATACAGAATATATATCCCACAACGCTGAAGATTTATGGCAATCCATCACTTCTGGGGGTCTTGTTCACACGTGGTCTGACACCGAAAATAAATGTATTATTTCCTACATCCTGCTTGTGACATATAAAGCTACAGGGAGGGCAGGGTTGAGGCTAAAGGCGATATTACAAGGGATGATTCGTAAGGACTATTTTGAGTTCAACACAGCGTCATAACAATATATTGCGTAATTGTTTGTTTGCAACATTGTTACAACATTGTTAACACAGAAATCCTCGGTGCAAATCGTCTCTTTTAACATTGCCTATTAAATCCAACAAGAACTATTTCTACAAATATGTTACTTTTACAGAAGGTATTATTCTCTCTTTCTGTATAATCAAGGTAAAAATATATTAAAATTAAAATAAATCAAGATATATGATGTCTCTGTTCTTACATGTTTATCGGTTTCAACTGTTATTTTGTGTCCTATTCCGGTTCCCGTTCTTATTCCTGTTACTTTTCCGGACTTCGGTTACCTGACTTTCCAGACGCCCATGTTAAGTAATGTTACTTCAAAGAATTGTTAAAGCTTCTAAGGGACAGTCTTCTCCATACACGAGATCATATTAGTAAAAGCTGATTGAATGGAATTTGATGGCAATACATATTAATAAAAATGGGTGTCCAAGTTACGGTATTTGGAATTAACATTCGGAACTGACCTCCTTCCTCAGTTATCTTCGCGCTGATATTTTCCATTTCACTTCTCATCTGTTCTCTGATTTTATCTAAAGAGAAAATGGTATAGATTGTTTCTCAGGGCAAAGTTAAAAAGTCATGAAGTTTGAAATTCATTTTGTTAAACACATTATTAAACGTTAGCCTGACTCAAAGAATTAATAACTTTAGCTTCATTTTGTTTTGGAAACTGACTGGCTGACGGGCTTAGCAATTATTGAATGAGGCTGAGTATGATCTGAAGAATTATGCAGATCTCGGAGAGTGTTATCCGCCTGGATCTGCCTAATTCTTCAGATCATACGAAAGGCGATCCAATAACTGCTAAAAAAATAAAAAATAAATCGCCTGCGATTCGTGCCCAAACAAATTCTGTTTGAATAAACGACAGTATTGCTTTTTATTTTTATTATTTTTTTTTTTTTTTTTTTTTTGGGGAGTCCACATTACTGCAACTCGCTCACCACGGAATCTTAAGACATAAAATTGTACCTGTATGTAGTTCTTTATATGTCGGTTTATGGTTGCTAAATGTGGTTTTGTAAGGAAAAAGTTTATTTGGTCCAATTCGAAGCTTTCATTTCAGCCCCACCCGGCCACACCTTATTCTAATCTTTTAGTAAATTTGAAAAAACCAATTTAATACTGTAGAAAACACTTCCAAACCTTTATTAGTTAATACCTTCCATTCTATTAAGTTGGTCCTTAATATTATCTTCGTCTTTCTTCCATTCTTTTAACAGCTCTCGGTAATGCTTCTCTGTATCTGGATCCATAGTCTCAGTTTTTAGTTTTGTGATAGCAGCTGCATCTACACCCAGTGCAACCAGTGCGGCACTTATATCCCTCCACAATGAATTGAATGTTGGATCGTCCACGGACGCCTGCTTAGCATGCCCATAGACCGAGTTCCTATAGTACTTCACTCTGGCTATGTTAGCCTCAATACTGGTGTCTGAAGCAGGTGGAAGACTGTCCCATGAGTGTGTACTGCCAGGAGTAGTAGTGGCAGGAGCAGTCAGACCGCAGATGTTCCTCAGTAGCACCATCAACAGGGTGATATCAAAGTCTCCTGATGTTACAGATGAAGGAGGAGAGGGATACAGCTTACCCCACTGGGTGGCATTGATGATTTTCTTCTTTCTAATGGACTGCAGAGTTGAATGTTCTGCAGAACCAGCGTTCAAAACATTAAACAGGTTTGCTGGAGAGTGGTACTTGTCAAAGGTGTATCTCAAGGCCTTGGTTCCTCCATCCACTAAAAGGCGACATAATCTTGCATAATTAGTCGACTCCTTAGTGGATGGAGCTAATGTTGGAGCAGAAGCCATCAGAGTAAACCTGCAAGACAAAAAATGGTGTTTTGAAAATGAAGTGAACAAAAAACGAACCAAATTAAAGTCTGTCTTAATGTTCTAAAGTAAGAGATGTCGGCTGAGTTTCACACTTTGCAAAATTTCGGTCCCGTTGCAATGTGATCGATAACGTCAATCATTCGGTTCGCAACAACTAAAACTGACGTCTGACGGAAAAAAGGAGGCAAGCTTTTTGGACCATCTGAACTAATTCTTGGAATATAAAAAAACCTAAAAGGATTGCCTTTCAAACCAAACTTCCTGTTTCACTTTTGATATCCAAATTGTAACTTTCCTTTTAAACTCCGTTTTCATTTCTCTGATGCTCAGTTCTTCTCACGACTCTCTTTAATAAGAAACAAATTGACAACCATTTCAAGTTTATTAATCTTCCTCGAAACATAGTCAAGTTAGGAACCACATACAACTTAATCGTGTCTGGGTACCGATGCGGGAACATTGCCATTTGTATTAATTTAACAACTAAGAAGAGAGATGGTGTAAATATAGAATTAAACCTTAACACTGTCATCAATGAATATGATTTTTTTTTCAAAAGAATAAACATTTCTCTAAAAGTCGTGCAGCCTCAAGAAAGACCAGGAGAAGAGGCCAGTGATGACAAAGAAACGAACTTCTCCTAAACACGAATCGATCGCTTGTCTGGAAAGCAAGAAACAATATTGCATTCATATACTAGGACACTCGCCAACAGCATTTGCTTAAAGGCTAACAATTGATCAATATACTGAGAAAAAGAATTTTGAGATCGCTCAGGTTCTAACACCCTTTTTGTTAAATCTCCTTCCTTAGGAGAAACTATAGTATCCTATGATCAGAACCTTAAAATATGCTAAGACATCGAAATTATCGTTTAATTTACCTTCTCCACGTCCAAGAATTTTCGTCGCTTATCTGAATATTGGGCAGCTTCAGGGTCGTTTAGTTGATAGTTCCAAATAAAAATCAATTCATCCCTGAAAAACGCTGGTAAGGCCAGCACAGAGTTCGAGTTCGTTTGTAGGTTTCTCCAGAAACAAACATGGCAAAAATGCAATGTTGGTGTCAGACAAGAGATAATCAGTCTAGACAGACGGTTACGCGAAATCAATTATTTCGAAACAAAAAAGACCTATGCCCTGATGCCTGTTGTCGAAGAAAATGTACGTGCATCGACCAAGGCAAGGTTCTCATCCCCATTATAATAATTAGAACCTCAGACGCAACTGTGTACTTCTAAAAAGAATGGGGCGTATCACCGTAGAAAGATCTCGAGTTCGGAGATGCTAACAATGAAAACCGACGTAGCATGACCAAAGTTAAATTTAGACAGCAATTGGTAGAGAGTCACAATGTGCTAAGATCACGGGATACATCAAACGTGATACTGTGAACTGCAAAT